TAGAAATTTACCCGAGATATCAGATAAGTACACAAAGATGCAAGTTTAAGGATATTTGTTACGGTTTTGTTTAACAGGAAATTCTGGAAACAAATGTCCATAAAAACTAAATATAAAATTGGTTAAATAAATTATGGTATAGGGGAAAGTTCTAGTGGCTTGAACGGATGGGTGGCAGGAGGAACCATTATGAGAACTGAAGCTGACGATTAAACCTGAACAGCAGCAAGATTACAACCTCCCACAAGCACCGAGACTTTGTGGCAGAGTCCGTGGGGGAAAAGCCAGGAGGAAGCCTGGCTGGGATTGGTGAAGTTATGGACAAGAAGCTGCAGGAAAGGGGCTTTGACAAGGCCTATGTTGTCCTTGGCCAGTTTCTGGTGCTAAAGATGAAGACCTCCTCCGAGAATGGCTGAGGGACACTGGTGGTGCCAATGCCAAGCAGTACCAGGATTGCTTCGGATGCCTTTGAGAGTGGTGTGACGTCTTCTTGTGGTGCTTTCTGGGAAGCCCTCAATCCCCAGCCCTCAACTGGAGCTTGCAAGCGAATAGAGACTCCTCCCCTGTCCTCAACAAAGGAAAAGACTGCTATTGTCCTACTCACCTACAATGTACTCCAGGGTCTTTTGGGAGTTTTTTCTCCTAACCATTTTAACTTTTTTGGATTCTCGCTCTTGCATGCCTCCTGTCTTCCTTTTTCCCCTGCCAGTTCCCTGGGGACAGTTACCAGCTTTCCTGAATGGGTTCCTGGCCCTGTCCCTCACCCCCACCCTCACTTTCAGTCCATTTGATACCATTTGGCTCCTTTTTTGACAAAAAAGTCACTGTCCTTGTAAAGTTTTTTAGATCAATTAAGTCAGTGGCTTTCAAAAAAAAAAAAAAAAATTATGGTACAGGGCAGGGCGCGGTGGCTCACGCCTGTAATCCCAACACTTGGGGAGGCCAAAGTGGGTGGATCACCTGAGATCAGGAGTTCGAGACCAGCCTGGCCAACATGGTGACACTCCATCTCTAGTAAAAATACAAAATTTAGCAGGGCTTGGAGGCTTGGACTTGTAATCCCAGCTACAAGGGAGGCTGAGACAGGAGAATCACTTGCAACCCAGGAGGCGGAGGGTGCAGTGAATCAAGATCGTGCCACTGCTCTGCAGCCTGGGCAACAGAACCAGACTCCGCCTCAAAATAAATTATGGCATATACAATAGGATAAAAACAGTCAAAAGAAAATTCTGTCTCTAACAGAATTTAGAGACAGAGGTGCTAAATAGCACCTCAGTACACTGTAGTACTGACTGCTGGCATCAATCATATATTAACTCATTAAACTCTGACAACAATCTTATGAGACTGGTATTACTAATATTCCCCCATTTAAAAAATGGAGAAACTGTAATTTACCTAAGACCATTGGACAAATTGTTTTTAATGAATCTGAACTTAAGTAGTCTGGCTCCAATGTCCACATGCTTTTAACCATTACATATGTTTAGTGACATGGAAAGATATTCATGATATACTAAATGAAAAAGAGTATTGTTCAACAGCATTTTTTGAAAGAAAATAAATTTATGTGCATCCTTTCACACTGTTCTTCTGGATTTTCTCCCACTTTCCCATCTTATCTCAAACCCAGATTAAAAATATACATACATACATACATATGTGTATAGGTAGGTAATGCATACTTATATAACCATAGACCAAAGCATGGGATAAAGGCTTTATACCAAGTTTTTATTATGGTTATCCCTGGGAATGGGATTATGATTGGGCCTTATTTATCTCTGTAGTGTTTGCATATACACGTAGGACACGAAACGAGCATATAATACTTTGGGAAGGCCAGAGAAAAACACTCTGCCATTTGCTTTTAACCACGGTCAGCAAACAAAAAACCTATTCTGACTGAAAAATTTCTGTGCCCAATATGAAGTGACTAAGATCAATTCTGACTTATCATCTCCAGTCTATTAAATCTATTGAATGTATTCTATGACTACCTAATATTTCATATAAGTAAATAAATTAGATTTGGAGGAATATATCTGAACTACCTACTGTACACAAAATGATTTCATGATGCTGCCTAGTATTGTGAATCATTCTTTTAGCTCAGTACCTTTCTAGCTACCTGATAGGCTATTACTAACCAAAAAGAAGCTGATCCTGTTCAGAAAGCAGGTGTCTTTAAAACCAAACTGAGCAACAGAGAATTCATCCTATATCTATCCCATTCAAAAACATTATAAATCCAATTTTCCCACTACTGAGACAAAAGTCTTTAGGTGGTCTTGGGCTTTGATCTTTCAATCATCAACTAGGGGCTGGGGGAAGAATTAGATGTTTTTCTCTGGCTAATACCATTACTCTTCCACAAATAACACCTAGACATTTAATGTATGTTAATGAGATAATCTGTTAGTACTTAACACAGAGTATAAATGTTCAAGAAATGTTAGGTCTGTCCCCTCATCACAAGAAATGCTTATAATACAGAGATATCTGAAGTCTCTCTGTAGCTATACTGAAAATTCGTTAGGCTCAATTCATAAGCACTTTGAAGGCCAGGCTCATTGGCTCACACCTATAATCCCAGTGCTTTGGGAAGCCAAGGCAGGAGGACTGCTTGAGTCCAGGAATTTGAGACCAGCCTGGGCAACATAGTGAGACCCCGTCTCTACAAAATTTTTAAAATTAGCTGGGCATGGTGGCATCTACCTGTAACTCTAGCTCCTCAAGAGGCTGAGGTGGGAGGATCACTTGAGCCCAGGAATTTGAGGCTGCAGTAAGCTATCAGCATGCCACTGTACTCTAGCCTAGGCAACAGATTGAGCAGAATGAGACCCTGTCTCAAAAAGCAAAAAACAAAACAAAACAACAACAACAAAACAAAACAACAACAACAAAAAACCCCAGCAATTTGAAGTTCTCCAAAGTTTTAAATTTTGATATAAACAAATACATATAATTTTTCTGGTATACTATACTAGTTTGGGTATGCTTTTTTCCAAGTGGTGGCAATAGATGATTAAAGTACACTTCAGTTTAGTCCCATATATACTTTGTCTATGGGGGGGTCAGCTTCAGGATTCATATAAGGAAGTTACATAAATATAGGGCACTAGTGATGAGAGGGCTCTTTTTATCTTCTCTAACTAGTAAAATTCTCTCAGATGATGCTAGAAGAGTGCCCATGTATTGCTAAAGAAGACAGAAAAAGCCTTCCTGCCCAGTGACCAGAGAATGTCCTCTGTAGAGGTCTTGTCTGGGTTAACACGGACAAAATAAATGAAAATAATATGAACAAGTCAACATGTCAATCAAGAAGATAACTTACTAATGTATATAGTATTAAGTTGACACAGGGTATAGGTCTGATATCCAGAGAGGTAGTCCTGGGTTACTCAAAAGACAGATTAAACATGCAGTGAAAGCACTGGTAAAGATGAGTCACCAAAAAAATGAGGAAAGGCATTTTGGGAAAGACATAATATCTGAGAGTTTAAAAAATTAGATATAATATGAGAAATCAGAACTTTCTTGGACCTCCTTATACTTACTTTATGTTTTAATATTGTTTTTAGTCTGAATTACATATACTTTCAATGCTTAGGCATTCTAAAAGTCTTATTCCAGCCCTGTGGAGAGGACATGTTGGAAAGTTTCGGCTTGGATTTGTTTTAATAAAAGAAAAAAAATTAGAGGTCAAAACCCATGACTTCATTAAAGGACACAGCAAATATGTTTGTGTTATTTTATTTAAAATATTTTTCTATTTTCTAAATAGCTTTGGCATAAAAAATATATAAACACAAACGATTTAATTTTAAAAAGTGCATTTTACGAACTTCACAAAGAGCAAATGTGTAATGGAATAAAAGATGAGGAAGAGAAACCCACTTACTGAGTTGCAGAGGGCCTGTACTATTTCATGCCTTTGTTTAAAATCAAGGCTATGTTAATGATTAGGTATGGTTAAGGCTCTCCTAACATATCAAGAGGTCCTCCTATGATACCACGTCACTATCTTTTGAGGGATTCAGAAGAATGATAAGGGACCTAGGAACATATTCTGAGTCACCTTGTAAAGAACAATAATAATGACAGCTAACATTTACTAGGCAGTAAAATGTTCTAGATACTACATTAAGGACTTCTTTGATCATCTCAATTCTTTTAACAATCTCATATATTAATTTCTATTATTATCTCAAAACTCAGACTCTGCGCACTTAGAATAATTTGCCTAAGGTCATGCGGTAGGGCTGAAATTAAAAGCAAATCTGTCGGAGTCCAGGTCTGCCATTTTAACCACCATGTTATACTGAGGAAGGGGTAAGCCTGTGCCTTTGAGGCAATTATCACCTTTACTATCCGAATGTCTTCTTTGACTGAAGGACAAAAACCAGCTGGGTTATTTTCACCAACTCTGCAGCAAATGTCTTGCAGTTACCACATTATTAAAGCTGTATGATATGTTGACATAAAATCCAACAAGGTAATTACAATAGAATTCTAAAGTGTTTTATAAATTTCTAACTATCATAGAAAGAACTGCAAATTGAAATGTAGTAGTTCCTGTTTTAGTCAGCATATTATGGAAACTTTAATAATTCAATTACATGTTTAGGTACCTCCAGAGATGTTACAGTAAAAAGTGTTTTAAGAAAAAAGAAGGCATCATTCTGACAGAAAACAATTTTTAACTTTTTCTCTTATATCATCCAACTCATGATAAAAAGATATTTTATGTTACTGGAAAAAACACTAAAATAGTACCATTAAATACATAGATTATAAGAAAAAAAAAAAGACTCCAAATAAACAACAACAGAAAAGAATGAGAGGAGGGAAGAGGATCAGAGTTTCTCAGAGAAGTCATCTTTTCTTGTGTGTCTGAGAAACTAAAATGATTCAAAGACTGTAAATTGAATTATTCCAGTCCCAAGTGCAAAGAGGTAAGAGAATTTGGTAACTTAAGATTAAAAAAAAAGACTTACCTTTAGGAGAGCCAAAGCTACATGAAAGATTATGTTCAAACCCTGAAATAGAAAAAGAAAGTGAAAATTAGTAGTGCCACATATACCACGATTTTATTATTTCCCCAAGACTTCCATATATCTTTAATAAAATTCCTAATTGCTTTCATCTTCACAAACAATAACTAAACCATGAGTTTTTTTTTTAAGGCATTTTCTTTCCCTGAGTGGCTTGTTGTAAATTTTAGGTGCTATTTAATCAATGTTCACATAAAATTGTTTTTACAATAAGTTATTTCCCTTCAGTCAATTTCTGGATTATTTGCATGTGCCTAAGTCTTGTGAAAGTCAAATTCCTTGCTCAAGCTGGCATAATGATGCAGAAGTCTAAAATTATTAATTGAAATTCCTAACCCTAATCTAGACATCTCGGTGTTACAGTTAAACTACAAGTAGCAGACAGAATAAAATAAAACAAAACAAGGCAATGTTGCCGATAAGTGGGACAGATTGTGTACTGGAGGCTTTAAGTATCACACTGCATTTCCACTACTGTTCTTACTGTTTTCTTATTTGTTTTAGTGATTGCTTTCAAGTATTATTCGTATAACTAGAGGTGGTCATTAGCGGCTATCTGCCAGACTTCCTTTTCTTTTCTGAAAACCATAGCAATATTTCTTTAGAAATAAACAAATTAAATTGTTCTTGAAGAAGCCATTCTAGAACTGAATTTTGAACTCTGGGTTCTGCCCAATTGCTCTGAAGAGATGTTGAGTTATTAAATTCAAAAGATAGAGAATCTTATATGATAAAGATAATCAGAAATAAGTTTGCTACAAAATGTGCTGTTTCCTTGCCATGCAAGTCATCATACATAAGAAAAAAGATATTTCAAGTATGAGTTGGCATAAGTCCCGTAAGTCCAGGGTCTATTTCATGTGCCCTCTTCATCGTGGTCACTGACACACTCTGGCTAGCTTTTGGATATGGAGCTGTACCAAATGTACTACCCAAAAAGCTTACAATAAACCATGTTTTTTCTGTTTCTGAAATAACTCCAGAAGCAAGGATTAGGCCCAGATATTTAGAGTGTATTCCTGTTATGATTTGCTAACATAACCTTTCACATTCAGCTACCAGAAATATGACTAATGATGGAAGGAATGAATGATAAACACAAATATTCAGTTGGTTAAAATATAAACCAAGTATTTTTAGTTTGGGGTTTACTCAGTTAATTCTTTAAGAAACCAAAAGAAGTAGGAAATAAGTATAATCAGGCCAGGAGATAAAAACAAATGAACGCAGTTCATAACCATACTAAGCAATTATCCTAGACTGGTTTTGATCACAATTTACCAACTAGAGAAAAGAAAGACTATTACAGATTTTAAAATGTGGGTTACAATTAAGCAAAATTTGCTTTCTGAATCAAAATTTCACTTCTTACCCACTAGCTGCTGCCCACCTGCCAAAACTTAAAGGCCAATATAAAAGAGACCTACTGCCCTGTTCTCCAACTCTGTCCACCACCACCACATCACAACTGCTAGGCAACAGTGAATTCTCACAACCTGAGTGCTTATCAGCCTGCCATCAGAACCTGATCCACTATTTCTCTGGTTCTTGTTTTTCCAGGCACTGCTCAAAATGTAAACCCCTCTCATCTCTGTTTTCTCATCTTCATAATGCTCTGGTCCTTTATCTTAAGCCAGTTTCCTACTCCTCCTCTCCTTCCCAAATCCTTTCATGGTAGCCTTTGGAAACTCCACTCCATGTTCAGCTACCTTGGCTGTATTCTTAACCTCCCTGTCAAACATTCCCCCCAAATTCCTTATATTCACAGGAATAGTGAAATTTCATTGATTCTTATAACAACTTATAAAATGATTCTCATTTTTTAGAGTATGAATGTGACTAGCCCAATATTATCATGTGAAAACCAAAAAGAAAATTCTAAGCCCTCCAACTGACTAAATGGAGGACCAAAGGGACCCAACTAAACCTGAAAAAATAGTTCAGAACATGATAGGAAGGCGGAATCAGGCATGCCTCATTATACCCTCCTCCCTTTGGAGTTCAGGCACACAACTGACCAGCATTAACATTAAAAGAGAGATCCTAAGACAGACAGAAAAGACCCTGTAGCAATAAGATACCAAATTCCAACCTGACTCTAAGTATAGCATCACGTGGCAGATAGCAGGGCCCTGAAAGAAACCAAACTGTTTTATCCCAAAATAGATTCTTTAACATATTTTGAAATGGTTCTAAAAACCTGTCTTTTGTGGGGAAAATTTGCATTCTATAGAGGATTCCCTTTTCTTTCCAGGTCATTTTATGATCCTGAAGACAGATTGGCTGAGAGTCTAGAACCTTTTAAGGATCTCTAAAGGAAACATTTGCCATTTATTGCCTCTGGGAGTGGTTACCTAGGAGACTTCATATACATAAGAAGAACCCCAGTCTTTACAACCCCTTATCTTAACCCAGACACTCCTTTCTATTGATTCCAGGTTTTTAGATAATAACAACTCTTTCAACCAATTGCCAATCAGGAAATCTTTGCCAACCTGGGCAACAAAGTGAGACCCCCTCTCTACAAGAAAGTAAAAAAAAAATTAGCCAGGTGTGGTGGTGCACACCTGTGGTCTCAGCTTCATGGGAGGCTGAGGCAGGAGGAATGCTTGAACTGAGAGGGTGAGCTGCAGTGAGTCAAGATCACACCATTGCACACCAGCCTAGATGACAGAGCAAGATCCTGTCTCAAAAAACAAACAAAGAAAAAGAAAAGAAAAGAAAAGAAAAAGATAACATTTTTGAATCCACCTATGATCTGGAAGCCCCAGCTTTGAGTTGTCCTGCCTTACTGCACTGAATGAATGTATGCTTCACATCACATGTATTGACTGATGTCGTTTTTGTTTTTTGAGACAGAGTCTTGCTCTGTCACCCAGGCTGGAGTGCAGTGGTGCAATCTTGGCTCACCGCAACCTCCACTTCCCAGGTTCAGGCGATTCTTGAGCCTCAGCCTCCAGTGTAGCTGGGGCTACAGGCTCTGCCACCACACCTGGCTAACTTTTGTATTTTTAGTAGAGCCGGAGTTTCACCATTTTGGCCAGGCTAGTCTCAAACTCCTGACCTCAAGTGATCCACCGGTCTTGGCCTCCCAAAGTGCCGGGATTACATGTGTCAGCCACAGCACCCGGCCTGATGTCTTTTTTTATTTTTATTTTTTAAACAGAGTCTTGTTCTGTCACCCAGGCTGGAGTGCAGTGGCACAATCAGAGCTCACTGCAGCCTTGACGTTTTGAACTCAAGCAATCTTTCCACATCAGCTTCCCAAGTAGCTGGAACTACAGGCATGTGCCACCACACCCAGATAATTTTTTTTTTTGGTAGAGAGGGTTTCACTATATTGCCAAGCTATTCTTGAACTCCTGGCCTCAAGCAACCCTCTGCCTCAGCCTCCCGAAGTGCTAGGATTAAGGGCATGAGCCACTGTGCTCGGCAATGGATTAATGTCTTATGTTTCCCTAAAAGATATAAAACCAATGTGAAACCCAATCACCTTGTGCACATGTTCTCAGGACCTCCTGAGGCTGTGTCATGGATCATAGTCTATAACTTGGCAAAATAAACCTCTAAATTGAATGAAACCCATCTCAGATGCTTTTTAGTTTACATATGTGTTTAGTAACAGGCTAGAATCCCCCCCTCAAGCCTCCTGATGTCTAGTCTAGTGAGATTTTCTCACACAGTGCTGGTATAATGTGCATAGTAAATGCTTATTTGAAGACTTAATGATTAAACTACACTAGCTTTCCCAAATTTTCTGGGGTTGATTTATTTCCCTGTGGACCCAACTAGACCAATTTACAGAATTATCATCAAATTACAGTAAGAACCCCTTTCTTCAATTATCTCAAAATCAAACAATTAGACAACCAAGCTGTGCAAAACACAAAGAACTTACAAGTAAAAATTAAATAAAGATCTCTAAATAGCCAAAATGGCTCTCACAAACACCAAGAGAAACCTTTGCTCAACTTTTTATTCTATACATACTTCCAGTTAGTTTGGTGATATGATTTTGAAGCTTGTAGATATCAGAAGTAGCAAACCACAAGATAAAGTATGTGCCAGATGGGATCAGGGATAGATAGCCTATAGTGACAGTTGTCAGAATTAAAATATCAGATCTCACAGAAATAGAAGACATAAAAAAAAAAAAAAAAAAAAAAAAAAAAAAAGATAAAATGCATAGCTCTCTGGGTCCACTTGGGGGAGCCAATAATCTTCAATAGTTAATTATTAACTACTGTTAATTATCACTATTAATAATGACAATCTAGCAGGATTAATGAATGCTTATATCATGTTATAATACTGTGCTTAAGGGAGGTGAGTGTGTGTTTTAAATAAAAAGTAGATAATGATGTTTTGAAGTTTGGGAAGCTAAAGAGGAAACTTTCAGTTACCAGAAAAATTTATATATGTAAATTCTTTAAACAAGTTCAGAAAAATAAGGTATTATATATCTGCTTATATGAAGCTCTAGACATTAACCCATAAAAATAAAGAAAAGTAAAGACTTTATAAGCCTTGAAGTAAAGTAAAACAGAGTGGCTCGACAATGCAAACAAATACACTTTAAGACATTTGAGTTGATGGAATTCAGAAAAGAACTTGTTATTCTATCAGGTTTTTGTTTTGTTTTGTTTTGTTTTGTTTTTAAGAGAGAGAGTTTTACTCTGTCACACAGGCTGGAGTGCAGGGGTGTGAACACCACTCGCTGCAGCTTCAACCTCCCAGGCTCAAGCAATTCTCTCAACTCAGCTTCCAAGTAGCTGGGACTACATGTGTGTGCCACCATACCTGGCTAATTTTTAACTTTTTTTGTAGAGATGAGGTATCCCTATGTTGCCCAAGCTAGTCTCCAATTCCTGGGCTCAAGTGATCCTTTTGCCTTGGCCTCACAAAATGCTGGGATTATAGGCATGAGACACCACACTCAGCCTTGAAATGTATTTTTAAAAGCAAAAGATGTCATACATTTTCAA